AATGTGATGGCCGCAGCTGCATCTTGATGTATGCAATCTTAAGATGTTTTCTGTGATTCTGTTTTATCATTTGGTTGAATAAAAGAAGGTACAACTATCACAGACAATGATGGCAGATTGAAGGTTGCTGCCACATCGTCAAGATGAAGCCAGTGCCCTCTGAGCTTTCAAGGAAAATCTGGCTGAAGTCAATTGCTAGCTTTTCTTTTTAGAGACTCATTCAGTCAGGTAGTCCGTTAACATGTATTGAACATATAGTGTATACAGAGAACTAAGTCTGCAATAGAGCCCAGGAGAAGCAGCTACCAGAACATTGTTCTGAAGCGGTGACACTGACCTGACCATACTCTTTTATATGACTGAGACTATATGCAGAATATTAACCAAGCACAATCTCAGGGCAGCATCTGAGGGCATTCACTTGATTCAGATTCCTGGGGTTCCTTCCCTACTGCTCTGCCACTGAGCATGGCGTTTCACCCTGGACCTTTCCAGTGGATGAATGTGATATTTGTGAAGTTGTACTAAGTATCTAAATACTTTATCCTCATATGAATTCTTTTCAAGGCAAGATAATTACAGAATTGCTGTGTAATTTAATGGAAAGGCTATGGAATTTAAAATTCAGGATATTGTAAGTGTGGTTTTAGGCACGTTACTTAGCCTTAGCCCCAAAGACATTATCCAGAATGCAGCACAGAGAGTTAAAGGCGTGGAAACCATAGAGGGCATTTAAGGAAAAGGGAGGATAAAGCAGGATGGTAGAACATGTATCTAATGGGCACTCTGGGTCTTCCCACATGGTGCAGTGATAAGGAAACCTCCTGCAGTGTCGGAGGCACAGGAGATGCGGGCTCCATCCCTCCGTTAGGAGGACCCCTGGAGAAGGAAATGGCAACCCACTCCAGTATCTTGCCTGGAGATTCCTAAGAGAGAGGAGCTGGTGGGCTGCCGTCCACAGGGTCACAAAGAGCTGAAGAGAGCCGAGCGGCCGAGCACGCATGCCGTGGGCACTCCAGGCAGAAGGGAGAGAGAGAACGGAGGAGAAAGGCTGTTATTTAATGAGAGTACAATGAAAAATGTTAGAACCGATCGAAAGAAACAGTCCTCAAATTCAACGGATCTCACTGACTTTCAATTGAAAGTTTTGAGAAAGATGGGCATAATCCTCATTGATGAGAATATTATAGACTAATGGGGAAACACATACTGAGGCATCATGAGCAACATAATCTTCATGGAGAAGAATATCACAGACTAATGGGGAAACACATATTGAATCATCACGAGCAACACAAGAGGCCAGTGACGAGTGCAGGGGCGCGAAGCAGGCACAAGCGTTCAACGAAGGTGACGTGTATTTCCATGCAGAGTCCGGGTCAGCGGGAACAGCGTGGAAACTACTAGCTTCACGACCTAAAGAGTAGGGTATGCAACTGGGCTTCTCTCCTTCAGGGCAGTGCCTATTACGTGATAGTTGAGAAAAGCAAGCAAGAAATAATGTGGAGCTTAATTTTGCCCGACATAATTTTATAGTGTTATCAAACTTTGTCTATGCTTTGCTCAAATCAAATAATAAATTGTTACCTCATATTTCAATTCTATTGTTATTACAAAATTAGCTATAACTCTATCAAATTTAAAGTACTAAAGTTCAATATTATAGAAATTGTAATAATGTATGCTTAGTAGCAAGTCATTAATAATGACATCCTGTATAAATAGAACTTCATTCTTTTGAATAGAAAGTGAAATTATAAAATCATTATTTCAGAAATTAGTACTGTACTACTTTGAAATATGCTAATCAAATGAGCTTATATTAGATATGTAGGATGTGATCACTATTCTAGTATCAAAATTTCTTATGTGAAATTCTTTGAATAAAGAAACAGTAATATACTGGATGCACCTTTAGCTATAAAGTGTATATTAAGGGTAAATGGTGAATCTTTGGAAACAGGGAAGACCAAGTCATCAAATCTTGATTGTTATTTCTCTTTAGTCAGTTTCAACTTTATTTCATCTATTATGAAAGTGCAAGTGTTAGTCTGTCCCCAGAATTCTCCAGGCAAGAACGCTAGAGTGGGTGGCCATTGCCTTCTCCAGGGGACCATTCAGATCCAGGGATTGAACCTGGGTCTCCTGCATTGCAAGCAGATTCTTTACCTTTTGAGCTACCAGGGAAGCCCTCAACTATTACAGCTAATATTACTGTTATGAAGCATGCATTATGAGCACAATGGGTAATGAAGATAGGAATATATTCTAGTTCCGTTCTTGGTAATCAGCAGGAACTTGATTTCCCTCATTTACATGTTCCCATTCCACTCCAGTTCTGTTCATCTCTTCACCCTCTTGTTCTGACCTTGTTCCTACAGGTTTGAATCTGTTGATTGTTTGTAATTGTCCTGTAATATTATTTGCCTGAATAATTTCTGTTTGATGCTAATCATCAGTCTCTTTCCAGTCCTGGATCATTTAAGATAGGAAACAGAGAAAGTAAAACTTCTAACTCCATAGAACATCCTTTGAAACCTCAGTTCCTCTGTTTCTGAATCTGTTAGATTTTGACTTATATTTGGAATCTGAAAAAAATAAAATGCTTTTAAAGGCTGAACTTACAGTAATAGAAATAGAATGGGGGTATCAGAGGCTCGAGCATGGTGAGAAAAGGGAAATAAAATGAATAAGAGTGATGGCTGTGAGGGGCGGGGAGAGGCAGTCACAAGGAGCTGCAGTTTCCCTGGCTACAGGTTCAGTTTTGCAAGATGAAAGGCGTTCTGGAGATAGTGGTGTGATGACTGCACAACAGTATAAAAATGTGCTTAATACTGCTCAACTGTATGCTTAAAAACTGCTAAGACAGTAAATTTTGTTGTGTATATTTACTCAAAAAATGGGGGACAAAGACGCTTATGGAATATTCCTCTCCTATACCTTGTGATGAAAACATGCTTGTTTTCACTTTTCCAATAAGTTAAAAAAATTAAAGAATTACAAACATTTTTCCCCTCTGGTTCAGATTCAGTTGTCTGGAATGGATTGGACTTTGAAATAAGCCTTCAGGTGACCCTATACAGGTTCATTGTGAAATCTTTCTGTAAGTTGGTTTAGGGGACAGGCATAACGACTTTTCAATATTGCTAAACTCTTTCATTGTTCTATTTATCTGGCATTCCATGTGTATTTTAATTACAGAGTCAAACTAGATTTCGAACAGTAAGTCATGAGCAATTCAAAACTGATATGCTTCAATTATCAGTTTACATTTTTTCATTATACTACATCTAAAGACATGATTTAGAAATTTTCCATATCAATTTTTATTGATTCATGGAAGAAATGTTGTAACATTTCAACCATTTATGGAATAAGTTATTTCACAGAAGTGAATTTTCCAGGTAAATAACCCTAAGCAATTAAGCTCCAAATTTTAATTAAGCTTAGAATTTTAAAGATACCCATTTTGCTGGTTTCTTAAGCCAGAACACTGGATAGAATTGAACATTTTCTCAAGGGGTGATTGAGGACTTTAGTGCTATTTTTACTGCTTGCATCTGGTTATCAATTTTTCTAGTTTTCTATCTGTAACTGAGAACTTCTAAGAGTTAACACTGGCCAAAGAATATAAAACATTCTCCATTTGAGTGCAACAGTCTTCTAGGAGTACCAGTTTTTGAATCTTACTGCTCTTTCAGCAGTTTCCTTGATTTTACAGTTGAAAGGGGAGGCAAAACTCCTAAGAAAGCACTTTGTAACCTCTGTTTGCATTTTCTGAATTGTTGAGGGCAAAGATGACATAAATGCTTCCATGTATAGCATGTTTTAATCTACACGAATTTGACAAAGCTTGGACAATAAATTGATATTAGGGAAACTAGTGAGTAGTGTTGATGAATGTGATTTTATACTGGCTATAATTTAAATAAGATGTGAATTTGAACGTTATATATCCACCTCATTATTTAAGTTGAATATGCTTCTTTTCAGGATAAAAGTTTAAAAAATGTTAGGATAAATAATTTTTAAAACATTTAATTAAAATTATATGCTGAAAATGACAATTAGAATGTATCTTTTTAACATATATACTCAGAGTGTTCATAATTAATTCCAGGTCTACAGGGTACAAATTAAGATTAAGACTAATTTTAATTAATTGATTACTTTGGCCATTTGATGTGAAGAACTGACTCACTGGAAAATGCATGATGCTGGGAAAGATTGAAGGGAGGAGGAGAAGGGAACGACAGAGGATGAGATGGCTGGAGGGCATCATCAACTCAATGGACATGAGTTTGAGCAAGTTCCCGGAGTTGGTGATGGACAGGGAAGCCCAGCATGCTGCAGTCCATGGGGTCGCAAAGAGTTGGACACAACTGAGTGACTGAACTGAACTGACTAGTTAATTGATTAAATAGTAAAAAGAATGAATACTTTATTACAAAAGGTTTGGCAGCTTCATTTGAATTTGTTATATTATGCAAAAACCTAACTTGTAAAATTCATTAATTTTATGTTTGTTTTTTCTTTATTAATACAGACTAAACTAAAAGCTACAGAAAAAGCAAGCAGAAGTCTCCAAAAAAGAAATAGATTAGAAAAAGTCCATGATAGGTTTATAAAATGAAAACGTATTCATTCATGGCTACAGAGTAGACTTATTTGGGGAGTTTAGAAAATTTCTCATAACCTCTCCTCTCTCAAGATTCTGACTAGGGTAGAACCAGTGTTTTTGAAAAGCACTCAGGTTATTTTAAAGTGTGGCTAGGATTGAGAAATACTGTAGAGAACTTACCATACTAATAAAAATTGCCTTGTTATTTTAACTTTATGACATTTTAAAAAAGCATTCAATTTCAGTGAGATTAGCAATAATAGCAATGACTCAAATAAGAAATAATTTCCATAATATTGCATTAAATTAAGGGGATAGATTCAACAGGAAAGCTGCAAGATTTCTGGTTAACAAATGGAATGATGAACTTGAGTCTATCTAAATAAAAGAAAATCATTTATTTTATTTAAGTTTCATGTAAATGTGACACATTTTATGATAGAAGGGAGCTAATTATCTGGGTGAACTTTTATGTTTTCCATAGCACCACTTTCTTAAAGTGTTAAACAGATCAATGTTAACTATTCGTGATCCTCCCCCCTAAAATTTCAAAGGAGATTTGGAGTTTTCCTCTCACCCTATGACCTTTTTATTTTAAAAAGAAGGTTAAGAAACTGATAACATTTAAAATTACTACTACAAAATATTAGTGTTCTATCCCAATATAAAAAGTCACATTTACAGTAAATTCAATTCTTGTAAGCAAACATGCAATGAATGATTAGAGTACAAAAAAACCCACAATTTTCAGATCAAATATACGTAAATTAATTTTAATAAGTACAAAAAAGATAATGTTTAGCATTAATCTGCATGTGATCAATTAGGAATTTTTAAACAGCAAGCATACTGACACATTCAATAAAGGTCAAATTATTTTACATACAAAAAATAGTGACTTTTCCCAGTTACAGCAAGGTCACAAATTACAAATATTATTAGCTCTAGAATGATTTTTTCAAACTAGAAAACCTACCATACAAGCATATTGTCACCTTAAAATCTCAGATTAATGAATGCTCAAAGTTTAGTGGTGGAAACTTGTCATGCATTCTCTATGCATGTAGTTGTATTATTAATATGTAGCAAGAGGAAATCATTCCTTTCCATTTTGTTTTTTACTTTTCTGATTCAGCAACAAATATGAAGCTTTCTTGTTTCCATGCCTGTGACCTCTAATGGGAATATTTCATGAAAGGTCACAATCCTATTTGGAGCACCCTAAAACCTGAATTTTTATCTGCTCAAAAGAATCTTTAAAAAATTAGATACCAATAAACTTGGAATCAATTGTGGAGCAGGTGTCCAAGATCTACAATCAAGCACTTATCCATGGATGGTAATGTTTAATTCATGAAAATTATAATTCAAAGTTCAGTTTCATTTAGGTCTTTCCAATCATACATTAAACTTCTTCACATTTATGCTAGGTTTAAAACACAGCCAACTGCTTCAACTACTGTGTTGAGTATTTAAAAATAAATAACTGGGGACAAATCTTTAAGTCATGATCTCTAAAGTAATTCTGTGTCTAACACCTTTGTTTTGCTTTCTTAATACCATTTGTTTTCACAAATAAATTTTGTTGGAGTTACACTTATTTATCTAATAATATAAGCCTGCTTTGACAGCATGTTGTGGTAAAGTAAGTCTTATAAACAAAGCATTAAAAACATTCTTTTATACCAACTAAGCTAATTTAACACAGTGCCAACATCAACATTTATATGGTGTCAGATTAGACTTCTTTCTATAAAAAGTAATTTGCAACAAACTGATGAAATCAATAAATAATCCTTGAAGTTCAATGACTTTGAATATCATAGAGCCAATAATATAGCAAATAAAGTCTCTCCAACCCCTAAAATAACTGTCATTTTTTTTAAGAAATGAGAAAAATAAAGAGGGAAGTGCTTAGTATTTTGTGTGCTTAATCAACTTCAATCTTTTTTTTATACATTATTACACCTATAGACCAAAAAAGAAAAATGTAATATATTCCCAGAAACTAAATTGCAACCAATGTTAGGGAATAGCTACTTTCACAAAAAATGGATTCTTAGTTGCTTTACAATTCAAAAAAGGTATAGAACTAATCAATCACATATATAGAGGACTTGCTATTTGCAAATGATCAACAGGATATTAAATATAATAGAGGCTTTAACAAACTCTCATTGAGAAACTTGAAATTCAAAGATTTTTTATCTTATCTTACAAGCACAATTGTTATACTATTTTAAATTTAATGGCTCAAAAGAGTCAACCAAAAATACATCAGAAAAATGTTTACACCTTTGTAGAAAGGATATTTCTAACTATGTGGGGCTCAAGACTAAATTCCAGTGAATAAGTTTGTTGGATCTATTGAAAAAAAAACTATTCTATTGGCTAAATTAATTACCAGTTTAAAAAGAGCTACATTTGGAAGTACATTCATTATAAAAGAAATTGTTTCTATTTCATAAATTTGTTTAAATTTCTCAAAATATTCTTTTATACTTGGAAAATACACACACACACACACACACACACACACACACACACCCCTATTTCTAATCAAAGCTAAGGCCTTTTTAAAGGTTCTTTGAGAGTATTACTATAAACTGACACCTAAACTTATTCCTTGGCATTTCCTACTGGTAATCTTAATTTATGTATTAACTTCATCATAGAGAAAGTGATTTGAAGTGAGGAATATATTATAAGTATTAAAAAAAGTTCTTTATATAAACTGGCAAAATAGAATATTTGACCTAAATAAGGTTGAAAACTGTGATCTAAACATGTTGGATAATTAAGAATTTTTGAGAAAGTGATATAAACTTATAAGAAATAGATTTTAATTACCTTTCCAAAATGCCTTTGACATGAACTTAATCTATCTTAGTACTTTAATCATGATGCTTACCTTGATAGACTCATGATTGTTAAATATCTCTGTATATACTTATGTATGTATAATTTCTAACCTTTCTTAGGACTTAAAAAGGGAAAGTGCCTCATTAGCTTTAACTGGCAATAAACATTTTTCAAGTGGGTTTTTCTCTTTGAATTTTTTTCCCTTTTTTTGAGGTCTTAAAATATTTTTTGAATTTGATGAAAATATGAGTGTATAAATATTAATGAAAAAGATTAGTATCTTTCATATAAATGTTGAAAATGCAAGATTATGGATATTAAGAGTTTTATTAAATATTGAATTTCATTTTTAAAGCATGAATTCAATAGAGAAAAATATCATTATTTGTCTTATCCGTACTATTATGAGTGATTTTGATACAGTGTCTCTGGTCTCTAAGTATGCAAGTGTTAAAAAATATCCACACCCCTTCCCAGTTTTAATTTTATGCTTCTGGATACGTTGGATTAAGAAGAGGTAAACCCAAGGTTGCCAGAGACCTAAATTAAGAGGAAAATAAGTGCATTACAGGGTAGCAATTGATCAACTCATAATTTGAAATTGATTCTTTCTATAGGCAAAAAAAAAATCTGAGAATTGCTTCAAAAATATGCAGATGGATATAGGAATGCCAGAAGACTAATAACAGGAAAACCAATATAATAAAGCTATTAATAAGGTCCCAAATTTCAAATGAGTCATCAATATTTTGGTATTTCACAGGCACTGTCTGAGTGTAATAAGTATGAAGCATTTGGAAAATAAAATTTTTGATAGATGCTGAAGAACCATGACTTTGCAGAAGGTGGACCTGACCTACTTCCCTTACTCTCACATTGGGATGATGACAGGCCATGTCAAAGTACAACATCAACAGACTCCACATGGTTTTGGGGCCCTTCTAGGATCTATGACATCATGGCAGAGTTGAGTTCCTTCAACCAGCAATATGAAAAGAGCCATATCATGAAAACTTTATATATATGTATATATACCAAAAAAATATAAGTGAAATGATAGCTTTTGTGCTCTTTTAAAATAAACAATGAACTACTTCAAAAAAAATTGGAAATGTGGCTCTAGGGGATCACTTATCCAAACCTGAGATAAATTCGAAATAGATCCCTGAAAAGATTGCTAAACATTAAGACTGGCACTTTAAAAATCACTGAAGTTTAAAAAAATTATTCAATGGTTTTGTATGAGTTCCATTTTCTAGTCAAACAAATATAAACATAAACAGAAGAAAATAGCAAAACAGCCACTATCTTAGCACACTCATGATCTCATAACTCATTAATCAATTCTCAGTGATGAATTAACTTATATATTATATTTGGTCTTTGATTTAAAGTCTTTACAAGAATGAGATGCACTTTGATTTTCAACTAAATTCTGTGGACATGAAATGAGTGGTATTAACACATCCCCATGGCATGGAAAACAGTAGGAGGTAAAAGATATTTGTTGAACAAATATTATGTTAGTTTAATCAGGGCAGTTACTATACAATAATGAGATTATATCTCCATATATGTACATGTATTTATCTACATTTTGTACATACCATAACTCTTTATGTCAATATACAACTGCATAAAATAATCATGATATTATGGGCCAAAAAGACTATTGTTATTTTATTAAAAATGTTTTCTGAAGTTATTAATCTTATTTTTAATAAATCCATGTCACTTTTATTTTGTGTTTTTAAAAGGATTTATGGAAGGGAGAATAATTGTAAAGACTCTTGTTCTATAATTTAAAGTCCTTTACCATGGAGAATCCTCCCTCGCTCCAGCAAGACTAAAACTTCTTCAATTTATCTAAACTTTAAAAGGCTAGGAAGTGTGTTTAAAAAAAAAAAAGTTAAAGAAAATAGAAAACCCCGATCCACATTACTGGACTATCTCAACTGTCAAGATGTTATCAGGTTCAAATAAGATTTTAACAATTGAAACTAAAAGTAAAAATAACAGTAATGATAACTTTTCTGGTCAATCTACCATAAATTTTAATAAACAGGTACCATCAATGTAGGAGCAGCCTTTTGCAAAGGTATAGATGAGTTTTTTTCTGTTGTCCTACAGAAACTGCTATTTACAAATATTTTTACATATGTACATATTTATAAATTTATGATGTATAGTCACACATTAAGGGGGAAATGCAGAACTTATAATATTTTAAAATGCTTAACAATACATACCATACAAAGCATCTTTATTGCTTGCCTTCAAGCATTGTGTACTGTCTTAGACTACTGCACCCTTCCCTAAACCACCTGGAAGAGCTATGATATATTTAAATGTGTAAGAAAACAGGATATATTCCATTGCAGTATATGAATAAGGTGCACTTTTAAAAACTATTTAGATGACGAAAAAGTGCTTTGGAAGGGAATTAAACAATACATTTATTGGCTCATGTAACAAGTTTATTTTATTAAAGATTATGGATTACCTTTTGTGAGGGAATTTTTAATGTCAAGGCTGTCTTCACGGCAAATTCTGTTAATAAGATGCATTTGTGACCTTGGTATTAATACAACCATGCAAAGCACATAACAGAATCACACTGAAACAAAAAAAAAATGAAAAAAATAAAAACTATAAACGATGCAAAAGAATAGCAGTTTTTGCTGTGATTTTGCTTGCTTCCATAAGATAACTTCTTTTATTGATTTTATGAACATACTTATTTATGCACTATACTGAAATACTGTACAAAACTGCAAGAAATGCCACTATTTGACTACTTATGTCTCTACAAAAACACCATCATAAAGGTGTATCTATTAGTAAAAGTCAACTAATAACTGCTAATGTATATGTGAGTTTAAAGGATTTTAAGTTTACCAAAAATGTTGAGTCTAATAACATGAGACACAATTAATAACTTCTGTAACATATTTCAGGGGCATAAAGAGTATTTTAAATTCTAAAAGGAAAATGAATTTTGCTCATTAATAATTAGTAATTATATAAAATTGAAAACCGTGGTTTCTAATTTAGCTAAATATTTGTGTACATACCCTAATTGAGCTAATTGTGGGTGTGTGTATTTTGTTTGTGCATGTGAACTAATCCACAATCTGTTGGTGATGCTTTAAAGTTTCAGTTTAAAAATGTTCAACTCTTACCAAAACCTCTTCTCATATACAAAGCTGCAAATTTGAGTCAGAGAAATTTAAAGTTGCAATTTACAAAAGCAGAATTTACATTAATTCTTATCTGAAAGAGCTGCTTTCAAGACAGAAAAATGTGCCAATTAACTGCCCTGTTCTCTGTAATTAGTTGGCTTCTGAGTCCTGATGAAAAGAAGCCTTAAGGCAGAATTTGCAGTAAACAAGAAAGGAGAGAATCATCTAAGTGCTCATATTTACTCCGTGACACCTATGAATTCTCATTGATGGGAGTTTTTGGCACAGTTTTCTAATCCAATATGAATGTTGCTCCACAGCAGCCAAACTGGATGTCTTTTCCAGTTTCCAGCACCAAGAAAATTTAGCTGATCAATTTCAATACAACACATACCTGGAAATACTAAGACCTATTTATCATCTTTTTTTTTTAATTTAAGGTAGTTTCCAATGATTAAAATAATCTGGAGGATTTCAATTATTACTTTCAAATAAACTCTGATGTGAAACATGTGATGACCATGGCATTCCAACAGTTATTAAATCCTAGGCATACCGAACATCTTGTCAGGGTGATTCATAATCATTTGAATTTGTCATGCCGTAGTATGTACATGGCTATAGATACTAAACAGAGTAATTAAAAGCTGATTTCAAATCTCTAGTTTTTCTTCAGATGTGTGCTAAGCTTCCAATTATATTAGCAGGGATTCTGAGCACTCAAGAAGGAAAGATAGGAGGTTCTAAGACAATGTTATTTTACTTTATAGTTAGGTAAGAGTAGAAAATACTACTATGTCAGACCTAAATCAAAAGGGTCCATAAAGGGTTGTGTAAGATCTCCATTTTCATTGCTGTTAGAATAAGAGAAAATAAATCAGATCACCTGAAATCTACTTTAGACCAATTCTGAGGGTAAATCTTTTAAAAAGGCAATGGCTCATTGGGCCTGGGGAGCCTTCTGCCATTGGTTAGCAAATGCGTGTCTCCATTAGAGGTCTATAAGCTGTGATGCTATATACATACTGTACATGTTGGTTCACAAATTAGCAGTTATTAGTCAGACTGTACATGGCAAAACAAACCAAGTGTAATGTCGCTATACATCTCAAAGACAACCTGTGCCTAGAATCAAGGACTGACCCCTAATACAGGTTCTCTGTTTAAATATGTGGCCCAGTAAACTAAATTAAATGTACCAAACAGAACTGGGAAAACTATTCTAGACATTCTGTCAATTTTGCTAACGCTATTGAAAGTCTTCTTGGCTTCAGCTGGTTTGTTTTCCGGCTTCTTGCTGGGTTCTGGCGTGGTTGCGCTCTTGGAGATGGTGGAGAGAACTGGGTCTTTGGAAAGATTCGGGGCGTAATTGGCAACAGCCACTGCGTAAGCGTTGTTCTGTATCATCACAGAAGCCTTTTCTTTCTTCTATTGAAGAAACACAAGAATTAACAGAATGTGGATTAAGACTTCTTCTTAATATTTTTCAAACTCCAGTTTCAAATCCTGAAGAAAAGTATTTTGATAAGCATCATCATACATTAGAAAGAAGGAATTTAGGGAAATAAATGGAGTTAATTAAGTCCTAAAACCACAAGGGTGAGGAAATCCCCAGAGTAAGTCAATGATACCATTTTCCTGGAGAAGCATTTCTTGTTGTTTACATAGAAAAATTAAAAATACAACGTTAGCAAAATGATACATTTTTGACTCTTATGTGTTACTCAAATATTTGCTGAATGAATAAACGAAATATAGAAATAATTTAACAAGAGGAATGATCATCTGCAGTGAATGCTCTCAAATTTTGCATTGAAAATTTAACTTCTTTAACTTCATAATAGGATAGGATATCTCCCCTTCATGTCAAAATCATATAGGAATGCTTTTACTCAGTGGTAGAAAATTGTATCCATATGCAGATGGTAGTATAATAAACACTAAAGACATAAAGGAAGATGAAATACAAACGTTTGGATTTCTGCCTAGCTCATCTACATCCTGTTTCTCCTTAATTTCCCTATCCAGTTCTCACCCACTCTGGTCTGGGTCACAGTTTTCTCCTGCCAGGACCAAACAGCATTCCTTTGTGCTTTCCCAGTTGGGAGATAATTAGTCAAACTACAGCCCCCATGGGGAATTTTTAAGACTTAAATTGGATGGTGTCATTTCTGAGCTTATGTCTCATTTAAGAGACCATCTCATGGAACTTAGAATGAAATCAACACTTCTACCATGGTGTCTTTTTTTTATTCATTATACATCAGTCTCATAGAAATCACTTGTATTCAGAGGATTTTTTTGGTCAGTGCCTTTGGCTACGCTACCTCTGATAGTGACAAGTATAAAGGAAGTAATAGGGATTTAGTAGTAAATCCCTGTAGTACTAGTAAGTACTTACTAGTAAGTCTTACTAGTAAGACAGGGATAAAGTAAGTAATTAAATAGTTAATCCCACTAAGGAATTGTAAGTCAAGAAAAAAGTATGAGACCCCTGCAAGTTAATGATCACTCTAGAAAGCAGGTTGGCTTAACCACAAAACCAACCAGGCTTGCTTAGCAATAAAACCAAGCAACAGAAGCATGAGACATGCTCCCAAACAATTCAACAGTTGTGGCATGAGACCTACATCCTGCCCAGTGAGCTCAATAAATTAATGATTCCTAGGACACACTCCTTTGCATACACTGAAAACAAAAATATAAGGACAGGGTAACATTATACTAAAACCTGCGATGATTTACCATTTTTAGCATGGGTTGCCACCTTTTCACTCATTTCCATTGTGCATGACAATCTGGGCTTGATCATGTAGGGATAAGAAAACTCCCCTTCCTGACATGGAGGAAGAACTAGTGATGGAAATATCATGTCTATTCAAAAAATGAGGAATAAGGTGATCTTCTCCCCCCCCCAACTTTGATTATAAAACTGTAGCCCACTAAGTTTGTGGGGTGTGGCACGCCCTCACCTGCCCACATTTAGGTCTCATGAGCATCTTGTTCTAATGAATCACTTCTTATCTGTCAGTTTGCCTCTCACTGAATTCTTTCTGCACATAGACATAAGAACTGGAGCTCCTCAGAACATCTGAAATGCTGCGGAGTGGTCTTAGTTCCCCATCCTGGAATGGCTTCTCTCCATCCCATCTTCCGTATGAGCAGTTTCCTCTCACATTATGGTCTTGGTTCAAATGTTATTTCCTGCAGAAGGATCCCCTAACCATTCTATCTAATGCCATCCTTGCTCTCCACCTATACTTTTTGAGAGCACCCAGTTTATTTCCATCATGGCATTTTTCAAAATGAGTAAATTCTTTCTTCAATTGTGTGATTATCTGATTGACACTCTTCTTTTCTTATTAGAATCTAAGGTCAATGAAAGTTGGTGCTGTATCTGTCTTCTTCACCATCATAACCTTAGCCCGATTCCTTCTATGAGGTAGGCACATAATATATAGCCAAATTAATGAAACCTGAAAATATTTACTCAACATTAAATAATACTATTTAATAAAACCTGAAAAACTATGTAACTGCAGTTCTGTACTAATACAAACACACTATTAGTTACCTGAATGCAAACAAATTTGAGGTAGCAATGAATTAAGCAAAATAGTACATAATGTAAGTTAACAGATTTAGACGACCAATTGACCTAGAACAGAATTTCGAGAATCAATATTTTGAATAAGTGAGTGAAAGTCATTCAGTCGTGTCTGACTCCATGACAATACAGTCCATGGAATTCTCCAGGCCAGAATACTGGAGTGGATACCCTTTCCCTTCTCCAGGGAATCTTCCCAACCCAGGGATTGAACCCAGGTCTCCTGCATTGTGGGCAGATTCTTTACCATCTGAGCCACAAGGGAAGCCCAAGAATACTGGAGTGGGTAGCCTATCCCTTCTCCATCGGGTCTTGCTGACCCAGGAACTGAACCGGGGTCTCCTGCATTGCAGGCGGATTCTTTATCAACGGAGCGAGCAGGGAAGCCCCACGTAGTGTAAATTAACAGATTTAGAGGACCAACTGACCTAGAACAGAATTTCAAGTATCAATATTTTGAATAAGAATTCTCAAAATGTTCAAGTGAAGTAACAAAAGGCCTCTGAGATTCCAGGAGGATCTGTAAACAGCCTGCATTCCCTGTTCTTCACTGCTATCTGGTTTCTCCCTCACCTCTTTCCCTTGCTGATGAGGCATTCTTCCAGACTTGCTAGGAGCATAAGAGAAAAAGGCTGAGAGATTATCATTTGTAGCTTTAAGAAAGTTATAAACAGGTTTTCCCATGTTACATACGGGAAAGCATATAACTGTAGTACAGATAACTAACACTTAATGAGCACTAGGATACGTCAGGTTGAGTGTTAAGCCTACCATGTCATTGGTGACAACACTCACTACTGGCTAAGAAACAAGTTCTATGTTGCAACTCCCAAGTTGCACAATCAGAAATGGAAGCTAAAGAGGCTCGATGACAGGGCCAGCTCTCCTGTCTAACAAGTGACTGAAAAAGTACAGACACTTAAATGTGTGTGGCTTCCAGGTCTCTGCTTTCAACAGCCTGATATGTGACCTTATCTTTGCGGAAGCTGTGTGAACCCTGGGAGTGCTTCTTCTCAAAATATTCCAACTGGAGTTTATATCACTAGGTCAGTCTTCTAAAAGATGTTAACCCATATGTCTTTAACGCATAAAGTTCTAGCATATAGTGTTTATATTATTGCAATGATACCTTGGTATCACTTAAAATGACATCTAATTGCAGTTATAGAGAATTTGGACCTTGGGAATGTTTTTAAAACTCTCCTTGCTTCAGCTTCTAGATTTAAAAGAGAGAGAATTATACCAAAGCCATACTGAACTGCTGTGAGGATCAAATTAACTACCGTGCATTTGAATTGCCTGAAAACCGTAACCATTTAGTGGAGTGCAGTGCTGGTTACGGGCTTCCCAGGGGGCTCCGTGGTAAAGATCTGCCTGCAGTGCAGGAGACTTGAGTTCGATCCCTGGGTTGGGGATATCCTCTGGAGAGGGAAATGGCAACCCATTCCAGTATTTTTGTGTAGGACATACAGAGGAGCCTAGTGAGCTACAGTCCAAGGGATTGCAAAGGATAGGGCATGACTTAGCAAGTCAACAACAACAAAGATGACTTTGTGGAAGAGAGATGTTCACGTTGGGTCAGGAGTTATGGTGGAGGGCCCAGTCATTCATACAACGAAAACATAAAATGTAAAATATCCTTCGTTGTAAGAGGAATCTATAGACAGAAACTGCTGCTTCTGCTGCTGCTGAGTCGCTTCAGTCGTGTCCGACTCTGTGTGACCCCATAGACAGCAGCCCACCAGGCTCCGCCGTTCCTGGGATTCTCCAGGCAAGGACACTGGAGTGGGCTGCCATTGCCTTCTCCAATGCATGAAAGTGAAAAGGGAAAGTGACGTCGCTCAGACGTGTCAGAAACTGTACTAACTCTTACCAACGCCACTCCTGCCCCCCACTCGATTTCCCTTCAACTGTACATAAATACACAGGAGACACTAAAAATATTTAACAAACTCTAGAGCAGAAACATCAACATATCAGTACAGATACTCTGACCAGTCTGAATGGACATCAGCTATAAAAACCCATAAGGGCTGTACTAGTCTATATCAGCCTAATATGTTTTTTATATTTGTATGCTGATGTTCTTTATTTTATCCCAACCAGTGCTGGACATTAAAATAAGCAGTGTTAAAAATCATTCTAACATATGTTCACAACTTTTCTTATCATTCCAAAAGACATAATTTCATCATACTTTCTCTTCACTGTTCAAAGTATAGCTTCAATTTCTGAATATCAGTATAAACTTCAGAGGTAGACTCAAGAGCTCAAAAAGATGATGGGTTTTGGCTTCAAAATGTTCCCTTGGAACTTGGAAACTTGAGTATTTTAAAACCCAGTAGCAAGGAAAGTGCAACAGCCATGAGTACTATTTCTAGTTGAAACTCAGTAGCTGGCACCTATAATTTCACACCAATTTACTGAATGAAGGTAGGGGCACCTCATAAAGCTAAACAGCTATTCCTAGCCACAGCTCTGTAAAGCCTTTCTAACTCAGACTCTTCCAAGATCTTGTTTTCAAGGGTATAATAACTCCCCGTCATTACATTTGAAGATGATTACCACAAATCTGTCTTAAAGCAGATTGTTCCTACAGATTTAAACTTTAAAACATGGGTATAGGGGAAAAAAAAAACTGTTAAAATCATAGCTGACTTCTACTAATTCATAACTTAATCCTCCATGCAAGATAAGTTGCTTCAGTCATGTCCAATTCTTTGCAACACTAAGGACTGTAGCCCGCCTGGCTCCTCTGTCCATGGGGATTCTCCAGGCAAGAATACTGGAGTGGGTTGCCATGCCCTCCTCCAGGAGGAGG